TAGGCATCCAATATATTTGCAAAAGCTTTATTAATATTCGTGCGAATCATTTTGGATCGGTTACTTTTGTCATGAACTTTGGTTACTTTCTTTAATTAATAAGGCCATGTCCCATTATTCATATCATAGTTGGATCGTTTAGATTTATTAAAATGATTTAAAATTCAATGAACTGGGCACTCACTCCACTCACAAATGTTACTTCGTGAATACTTTTTAAAAACTTACCATTACTGTGAAAAAGGATGGAGGAAAAAACATCTCCAGACGACATAAAGTCACTACAATACGATCTTGTAATCTATCAAGCTCATCAATAACAAGGACCTTTGCAGATATATCTCTAAAAAACTGACAAAGCTCAACAATGGCTGATGACACATCTGCTGGGAGGAGATTCCGAATTGCAACTGGAAATAAGTCTCTCATTATCACGTGACAGTCGTGGGATTTTAACCCTGATAGCTTTCGACCATTAACATCAACACAACTTGATAAGTTAGAAGCATAACCATCTGGTAGTATTACATTCTTCAAGACACTTAAAAAAGTGTCTTTCCCCTGGCTGTCAAGGGAAAAACATGCAGTTTGATACTTCTCATTATCATTAGGCCACAACTCAGATCGTATACCTAGCTCCCGGAGATCTTTTCTAGCACTCAGATTATCTTTTGATTTTTTTTTGTCATCCAACAGTGTGTAGGCTAGATTATCAAACACATTCTTCTCTATATGCATGACATCCAAATTGTGTCGCAGCATTGTAAATTCCCAATAAGGCAGCTCGAAAAATATACTTTTTTTCTTCCATTGCTGAGTACTAGATCTTCCACTATCACTTCGATCTCTCTTTCTTCCAACTCCCACTGAAACATTTTTCTTACCCAGAATAACATTAACTTGTTCTAACTGATGAATAATTGTAGAACCTGTCAATGTGGCTGGTGGAGCTCTGGTTTCTATTTTTCCGTCAAAATGTGCTCTATTGTGACGAAAGCCATGATCTAATGGAAGAAAACGCCGATGACCAATAAAACAATTTTTTTTTCCATGGAGTAAACGTTTTCCGATGCCATCATAGTTACAGCTTGGACAAGCTAATGATGTATAAGTATTCCAACCCGACAAATTTCCTAAACCAGGAAAATCGCTAATTGTCCACATGATAGCTGCTCGCATGTCAAATGTTTGTTTTGTAGAAGCATCCAGTGTTTCAATCCCATCAAACCATAACTCTTTCAACTCTTTGATAAGTGGCTGCAAGTAGACATCAATATCATTACCAGGCATGTGTTTTCCAGGGATAACCATAGAAAGGATCATAGATGTTTGCTTCATTGACATCCACGGTGGCAAGTTATAAGGAAATAACATCACTGGCCATATGCTATAACTACTACTCATTGTACCAAATGGGTTAAAACCATCAGTCGCCAATCCTAGTCTGACATTTCTTGGATCAGATGCAAATTCAGGATATTTTTGATCAAATTCCTTCCAAGCTCTTCCGTCTCTTGGATGGCGAAGCTTACCATCATTATTACTAGCAGATGCATGCCATTTCATGTGAGTAGCAGTTTTTGATGACATGAATAAACGCTGTAGTCGTGGCTTTAGAGGAAAATAACGCAAAACTTTGGCAGGAACTTTATTTTTTTGGTGCTCTGATCCGGAAATAGTACTCTCTGTAGACTTATTGTTTTTCCAGCGAGAGGCTTCACAAACTTTGCATTTTTCCCTTTCTGCATCGGCCTCCCAATATAACATGCAATCATTTGGACACGCATGAATCGATTCATAAGTCATTCCTAATTTGCGAATAACTTTTTTCATGTCATTAAATGAATCTGGCAATCTGGCATGCGTGAAAGCTTCTTTCATCAGATCAAGCACCATGGATATGCCCTTGTCACTGATCCCACACATACATTTGATATGGTGTAACTTCAGTATAAAAGACAATTTTGTGAACTTACTGCATCCCGGATAAAGCTCTTGGTTATAGTCAGCAAACAACTCATCAAAACCTTCTCCTTTTCCATAATTTCCACTTGAAGTTGATGGTCTTTCAGTGTCCATAGATAGCTCAGCCGGTCCAAAACCATGTTCAGCATGCATATTGGTACTGATATCAGGAAAAATATCATTCAAAAGATTCAAAGTTGGATCTAATTCAACCTGAGCAACATCGAAAGGTGCTCTTGTATTCTCTGTGACACATGTATCCTCTCCGTGTAATATCCAACTCGTGTAAGAATTTAAGAAACCAAAGCATATCAGATCACCTTCGATTTCTTCTCTTGTTTTAGATTTGGCTAGAGTGCAACGATTACACGGACATTTCACCATGCGTGCATTAGAATTACCAAAGGCAAACTCCAAGAAATTTTTTACTCCTACTCTGTAATCTTGAGATAACCGTGATTTGTTTATCCATGACTTATCCATCAAAAACTGAAAAATACAAAAAAAAGAAAAAGTATATAACTCTTAGTTTTATAATGTAGAAAATAAGGAAAAAATTCACAGCAACCATATTAAACTGCAAACGCAGAAAAAATTCAAAAAGAACACATGTCAACTGAAACACAAAGTCAAGTTACCTTATATCATATGCCGTCTTGATTCTTTGAAATTTCTCACGGATGATTTCTGAAAGTCGGTTGGTTTTCTGAGAAAGAGATAGAAGCTCTTTAAGTGTGAAAAGGAAATTTTTAATTTGATTACCATCTGTAATGAAACTTACCTTTTAATCTGCTGTCTCTTATTATTAAAGCTGTAACTCTTTTATCATAAGCTAAAAATTGAGAGGAAGGTGATGATCAAAAGCTGCAAATTAGTTTTGATTGTGAATGACGATGTTAATGACGGCTAACCCTATTTTTTCCTTTTTAACAAAAGTTAATATTTGCTTTATTTTCTTTTAAGATAAAATAAACAAACTTTTTATCACATATGTTATATATATGTATTATTAATACAATATTTTTTTATGGTATATATACGTATTATTTACAACATCAGTTTTTATTGATGTAAATTTTGTATTACTTAGTAAGTGATGGCAACAAAGAAAATAACTACATCATTTATTTAATTGATATTAATTATAAATAATAGCATCATTTGTTTAAAGGTGATACCAATTACAAAAAATATATATCGCTTTATGG